TTCTTCCTCCTCCCCTCCCCCTCCTCTCTCTCTCTCTCTCTCTCTCTTCTTTCTGTCTCTCTCGCTCTCTCGAGGGATCGGCTTCGAATGTGCTTCGATAGTAACCGCAAACGAGAAACTTCACTTGCTTTTTCTTCCGTTCCTTTATGGCTGTCGTTCAATCATCGGTCTATACAAATCGCTCGCTTTCACGATTTCGAGCTTTGTCTGCCGCGCGAAACATTGTTCGATCATGCGTTCGCAAAAGAGAACGCGATGCCGATTTTTTTCGAACCTTTCAATTTTGCACTGACGTTGATGTCATGCACGACGTTGATGTCGTGGTCGAAATAAACAAGCTTCGCTTGCACAACAGCAACGTTGTGGCACCCATGAGACAACGCGTTTTACGAGCAGTTTTTAACTTTAACATCTCCCCATCAGCCTCTGCCGTTGCACCAGCCGTGGTAGATGTGATTTTTTTTTCCACCACGCCTTTCTCCCACCGTCTGTTTCGCCTATAACACGCTTCCGCACGTCTAATGCCACTGGCAATTAAATGCAGACCCTCGAGAGACCGCTGATGACGTCCTTAAACGTTCGAGGGCAACGCTTCACAAAGCTGAAGACCGCTTCACGTAGAAATTATATTCGGCAAAAAGCAAAGCACTGCAGGACGGACTTTTCGACGAGACTCACATATGCTCATCTACGATCGATGATCTTATAATTGTCGATAATGTTTTTCTTTTTTTAGCAATGAAATTTGCTATTAATTTTTCAAGCGGGCAGTGAAAGATTTATTGCTAATAATTATTTAGCAATCTCCGCAACAACGAAATATTCACGCAATTATCTAAATTTTTCAGAATTTTAGAATGTTCAACGACACTCGCGTTCTCCACTCTGATTTCTCGCAGCAATCTCGGTCGAACGCAAGTGGCTTGATAAACGATCGAAATCTTCCGGCACGATTATCCATTCGGTGCCAATATCGTTTACAGACACTACTTCACTATACCATCACTATCACTTCGTTGTGAGATTGCGGACCGCGGTACGCTTCAAGAGTACTTACACACCGCGTCACGCACTGTCGACGCTACTCCGTTCCGGGTTACGTACGTGAATAGTCGGAAAAAACATCCGCGGGAGTGAGATAAGGGTGAAAACCGGGGATAAAGCGATCATAGGTACAACGACTCCGTCAATTCCGGAGAATCGCACGGGGATGGAGTCTGCGGGGTTGCGTTTCCATGTCGTTGTGATTTCGCGCGGTTCTCTGCGAAAGGGTCCGTGGAAGAGGTCCTCAGGAGTGCGAACGGGCCCCTCTCGCGCGTACTTCACCCCCTAACATCACCGCCAACACGGGAACCCGACGCGCGCGACGCGACGGGAAGAAGGTCGCGGCTCTTTCGAAACGGCGATGCTCCCGCGTCGAGGATAGCCGAGGGACTACATTGCGCGAGCGCCACTCGGGCGTCGAGCACGCAGCCGCCCCGTTCAACCCGCGGAACTGCGCCTGTGTGCACCCACGGTTACCTGTGTGCGTGGCCCTGCGTGTATACATGTATTTATGTGTGTGTACGCGCGCGCGCGACTTCTTCCCCATAGCTCGGTTGTATATCAGACCGTTTCCCCACCCCCGCGAGAGAGCCACCACCCTTTTGCCCCATTGCCTATCTTGCGCGCATCCCCCTTCTTCTCCCTCCTCTTCTTCTTCTTCTTCTTCTTCTTCCTCTTCCACTTCTTCTTCTACTTCTTTTTATTTTTCTTATTCTCCTTCTGCGCCTTGTTCCTCTTCTCCTTGTTTCCTCGTCGACCACTTCCTCATTTCCACTCCTTCTTCATCCTCCTTTTTTCCTTCTTCTTCCCGTCGACGTCGGGGAAAATCGCGGCCCCAGTCCGATAAGGACGCGAAAAAGCGCGAATCCGGTTATAACTTATGGCCGAGATAATTAAAAGGAGTTACAGAACGATAATGGAGTGCCGCCTCTGTCATCTTCTTGCGCGACCTCCGTGCACCAGTGAGAGCTGATCGTCGCCTATCCGTGCTGACTGGTGGTCGCTGAGGATCACCCATTTCTTGGAGCAGTTTGGCGAGTCTCGTCGCCAACTTCCTAGCTGCTTTTACTAATTCAATTCCAAAGACATTCTCTCATAGCAAACATTCGAGGAAGTCTCTGTAGATAACGGCAAACAAAAAATATAAGGTACATGCTTAATTTCTTTGATAAATTCTCTAATTTTTCCGCGTCTTTGCTAAACGATTTCAATTGTCTTGTCTCTTTTGGCTTTGCAATTCTAGACAAGAAAATGTAGATGCCGCGCCGTTTTCCATCTCAGGATGATGAAACACGTTGAACAAACGTGCAGAGGGCGAAACGAAATTATCATCGTGTTAAGAACTCGACGAGATCCGCTCAGCAGTGCTCGGTTGCATCGACTACAGTCACGTGTCACCGACTATACCGACCACCTTCGGAAACCGCGGAAAGATCAATAGGCATATCCCGCGCGTCTTTGGCATTCCGAGAATACGCCAAGAATTCCGAGGCGGTATTTCCATACCGCCCTAGGAAAATTAACCGACGCCTCGCGATCTCTTTATGATATTGACTTGCGATTACGAGAAGATCGGTCCTGAGGACCTCCCGATCCCAGAATGAATTTTGCATTCCGTCAAGGGCTCTTATCAGCGGCGTGAGAACGCGAACCCTCCCCTGGGAATTATGGATCCTCATAAGAATCCATAAAAAACAAAACGATCCAATGGGACGCATCAATGGGCGTAAGGATAAATTTATAGAAGCGGTCTCGCCGTAAAACGGAAAACACATATCCCTCGATCCCTATGCCAGTTCTTGTATCTTGATTGCTTCTATCGAGTATCGATTACGTACGACGATTCGATGCACCGCGCGTGCTAAGATTAATTGTTATATCGATCTGCTATGAATTTTAATGCGCGCGGAACTCCGCGGAGTAGTACTACTTGATTAGCATTCGCTTTGTCAAAGGTAAGAGCACATTACAGCGCTTCCCGCGACGTGTTGTGAATATTGTCGGCGACTTCAAGTGGATGTACCTTTCTACTTCAACCACTTCCTCTCCGTGTCTCACAAATAATTTCACTGCTTTGATTTGCTGAATCATTGCTTTAATTACTTTTAAATTGATCAATAAAATCATATTTTATGTTTGTCATGTGCGTACAGAGATAAATCAAACAATTATAATTGTTAATTTTTGTTGAGAAGCGATATGATTATTTTAAAAAAATTATTTTTCATTATAAACAAATAATTTCGAGAAGCTGTTTTTTTTACAATCACTTCTAACGCAATGATATTTTATATTTTTTTCAATCATATTCAGATTCTGATATTGTAAATTTAGCATTATGGCATTATAAGTTAATAAATTTATGTTTTTATATTACATATTTTTATGTGCATCGTTTATATTAAAATGCATCGTTGGTTATAAATTTTATGATCATGCAGATATACACACGTACAGACAGCCTTAAACAAAAAAATATCGCTGATAGCTCCATGAGAGATTCTCTCGTGGATTTTGTGTACGGCTTTTACAGCTCGCACGGCTCGATTGTTGTCAATGGCAAGCTTATCGTTGACAAAGGCACGACCCATACAGACAGATCGATGGTTATATTTCCGCGCACGTGAATTTCGAAAATGTCCGTCACGATTTATCATCTGACACGCGGTAACCAAACCAACTCGTCCGAACCCGCGAATATTTGCGATATTTAAATCTACGGACGCATGTCATTACATCATTCGCGCGCGTTATACCGTAAAAACCGATATTCGCAGCAGGAATCAAAATTCGCGGCCGCAACGCGTAAATTTCAATTCACGAATGGACTCCACCAGAAGGCAATGCACCGTGACTTTGAGGTATAATTTTCGTGTCTCTCTTGCCGAGGGACCGCTGATATATGTACGGGACGCGCCAATCTTGGAATTCTCGGAGAAGTCGTATTACTATCCATCCGATTCAATAGGCATGTACCTTTCCGAATGCCAAGGATATAATTCCAAGAATCGGCCGGCCAACGATGGGGGATGTGCGAACGTTCCTTCCCTAACTTTCGTACCTCGAACTTCTGGTCAAGAACCTGTGATCGACCGGCGAGTCACGATGGCCGTTAAGAGAGATAGGCAGCAATAGGCAGCACACGTCCATACGTTTCAGATTCCACGAATGTTCCGAACAGTTCGCGCTTCCGTCTATCTCGGCTCTTCACCAAATTATGGATACAGCGCCGAGAGAAGTTCCCCCTCCCCCGCTTCTTCTCGTCAAGGGAGAGTCTGCCAGCTACGAGACGCGGAAACCTCTTGCTAGCCGATTCCGAACTATTATCGTCGATTCTAATACGACTCTAATGCTTCGGCTGCCTTTTAGCTATTTAACGCTAGCGCGTGAATTTCAATTCAATTTTGAACTTCACACACATTTATTATCTTGAACGCAACAATCAAGATTGTATATGTTGCGTTGATATCTTGTCATGTCATATTTTCAATTTTTTTCAAATGATTTGCACATAAGTTACACATAAGTGATTATTTTACAGGAAAATTTTTAGTAAGAATAATAGAATTAATAGAATTCTTATTTGGTGAATCGACAAGATTAAAGTTAAAATAATCGTCATTTTCTCTTGTGCGCAAATTCTTAACTGCTATAAAATATATGAAAGTGGAGCCTGCATGTGAACGTAGTGCGAGTCTCTCGCACCGTCGTGTGTCAGTTGTATTCCGCAGCTATCACATCAGGCCATCTGGGACATTTAAGGATGATCTTGGTCGCTCAGGGGAATGTTAATGGAATATCTCAGAGATGTCTACATATCGCAGCG